GATTCTTGAGATAAGGGGTAAAACATGTTTTAAAATTTGAGTTGTTATTATTATTTAATGACACATTATTTATAAATGTTTATATTTGTAGAGAAAGTTCACCGCTAATGAACCGTAATGGAACCGGTTTTGCTGAAAATTATTATTTTTTTCCAAAAAGTGTGCATTTATTCACGTCATGAATCAACTCCATCAGGTGTGTTCAAAAGCATGATGTTTTAATGTGTTCCACCCAATAACGGTGTAAAGTCTTCGGTTGCGTAATAACGGCATTCAGTAAAGGTGCTGAAGTGATCAAATACATTCTCTACATTTTGTCCCCCTTTTTTTTTTTTACACCGTAATGAAAAATGCAATTCCTAAATTTCTTTGGCTAATTTTCTGCTCTCCTTTTTAATATTGAATATATAGCCTATAACCTGATTTCCTTTAGATGGAACATTTAAAGTACTTTTATTTTTAACATAAAGAGGGCTTTGTGTGTAGGGCATGTTTTGTTCCTTATCTCAAGAATACGTTTTTATAAATATATATATATATATATTCAATATCCAGCCCTAATATGTACACAACTGCTGAGAAAATGTTTATCTTGCATATTTTTTAATTATTAATCACGAAGCAATTGAAAGCAGAGTAGAGTAGAGACTTCTGGTAAATTGCAGTTTTAATATCCCGACTGTATGAGCTGTATTTTAATATGCAAACAGGTTATTCACACGACTGAAGGTGCCTTGAGCGAAGCTAGTGAAGCAAACAGAAAGGAGAGGCCTTGCAATGAAGTAGTGCCGTGTTTAGAGCATTCGTTTCTGAAGAAGGGGTGGACAGGTGGAAGATGAAGAGACGTGTTTGTGTTCGATCTGTTCACCGAGGTTGCTTTATGCTGGAATGGAGACGGAATATAAATGGGTTCATGACAAATAAAGAGTCTCCACGATAAAGAAAAGGACACATCTTTTAGATTTATTGATTGTGAGGCATAGATTGAGTTTGCGCTATACTCAAGAAGATCGTTGGCTATTATAAAATCAAGCGGCATATCAAGACTATTTGAATGCACTTTTCTTAAAGAGCATGTAATTAGATTAGTTTTGTCTCGAGTATGAAAAAGTGCTAATACCCACAGAAATGACTTGCTACAAACAGCAACAAAAAAGCAGCACTCGGAACTTTTTGTGTACATAAACGTTCAAATAATTACATTAATATTAAAAACGAGAGGTAAACGTTTCCCTAGTCCGGGTTTTAATGAACACAATCTTGAGTAAGCAAATCAAATGTGCATTTAACATCAACACAGATAAAGCAATGTTCATGTAAGAAGAACAACACAACCATATTAGGGATGAAATTCCTGTCACTTCTTTTCGAGAACTTGATTGGTCAGTAAAATGTTAGGGAATTTAATTCCAACGTAGTGTTGACAGAAATATCAAGGTAATATTAAGTAGGACTTAAGTACATCTTTACATGCAATTTTGTAAGGGTTTCTATTATCTTTGAAATATGGCTCTGAAGATACTGACAAGCATTTATGGTAAACTCAAATATATTTATTTAATGTCATTTCTATTAAAATACAATTTAATATGTTCACATTTGTAATAATGAAGTTGCCGTTCAGTACATTTAAATTATATTAACTTTAATGTCATGCAACACATTTAAATACAGTACATGTTAGTCAACACATCAAAATAAATGACGAAAGATTATTAAAAGATGATTTAAAATGTATCTTAAAGAAACTTTTAATTTGGCTTTATACGAAGATCACACTTTAAAAGCGTACTTAAGTGATAAGCCATGAAAGTGTCTCTCGAAGTCATTTAAGTGGACTTTTATTTCATTAATATTAAATGATCTGCAAGTACAGTTTTTAAAAAATATACTTTTAAGATTTCAGGTACACTACACATTCAGTACAGTTAAGTACACAAGTGCATGTTCAGTTAAGCGCACTTCTTTTGCACAAGGGTATGTAAACAAACCCTTTTATTTCATCTCCATCCAATGAGATGATGCAGAGACAACTTTTTAAGACCCAGTCACTTCTTTAAGAAGTTGTAGAGTTGTGTTTCCAGATGATTCAGCCGTGCTAGGCGTGTTGTTACGGGGATTCATTAAGTAGAGTTGCTGTTAGATACAGTACTTGTTTAGTATTAAACACATCTGTAGTCATAATACATCAAATCCATTTGTGACGGGTCTCATGAAGGGTGTGGTACTGTATGAGTCATGTTCACGTGATCGAAGCGGATTTGCATTGTTTCCTTAGCTTCAGTTTAGACCACAGACCACAGCTCAACCCAGTTACTCAATCACTTCATATATCATTCATATAGAAATAATTCTGTGTAACCGGTTTTGTTGTTGCCGGTTAAATGTATAAAATGTAGAGCCTTCAAACAGCTGGTGGGTAAAACCAAGAGAAATGTATGTAAAATGTAAATTTAAAGAAACTGTTGAAGTAAATTGAAGATAAAGAAACAAGAAATCCTGACCCTTTGAAAAACTTGGCATACTTTGATTACACTGACGAAAGTACTGACAAGCATTTACGGTAAACTAAAATATACTTTAATGGCATTTCAGTTGAAACTTGTTTGTCATGTATTTAAATATTTGTAATGAAGTTCAAATAAAAATGTACTTCACATGTGCTTCAGTTAGTCAACACATCAAATTTAACTTCTTTAAATCACAACGAAAGGTTATTAAAACTGATTTAAAATGTCATTTAAAATAAAACTTAATTTGACACTTTTAAAAGTGTACTTAAGTGTGTTAAGAAACTTAAGTGTGTCATTATAATGTCTCTTAAGTGGCCTTTTATTTAATGTTATCTGCAAGTACAGTTTTTTTTTAAATATATATACTTTTAACAGTGCACAAGTGCACATTCAATACACTTAAGTGCACTTCCTTTTAAAGAAGGCTTATCACACATTGTTTCTGTTGTAGTATAAATTTCTTCACGTCACCTGCAATTGTGAGCTCTTTTCTGTCGAGATATATATTAGTAGTCTGTTGTTATTTACCTTTGCATTAGTTCCAATTTAACACAATTGCAACCTAAACATCCTCAAACAGCACAGGTGTCTGCTGGGTAATTCAGTTCCTATTTTGTGTGTGCGAGAGCGTAAACCTGCTGTGACGTGAACGTAGGCCTGGGCGATAAAACGGTTTTGATATTTATCGACGGTACACCTTCTTCGATAACGATAGAAAAATAGTTTGATGTAGTGCACGATATAGGCACGTGCTATGAGTGACGCAGACAGCGCACGCAAACATGAACACGTGCTGAAATGAGTGCTGTGCCTGCCTGTGATGAGGAGATTGTAAATAAAGAATGAATATTAGTTGAATTTAAAATAAAATAAACATTTGAATGTTAGGTGTGCGTCAGGGAGCGTCATCAGTGGCGCGCGAGATGCGGTGATGATGATGTAAGTGACGTTGTAGTTTAATGTTTTGTTAGTCTAGCCCACGAGACGCGCCGCTGCTGCGTTATTCATTCAAAATATTAGAGAACTATAGAAGCTCAATGCGGAGAAGATATTGATTAGGTTAAAACCGAAACCAAGCCATTCACACAGAACACATTTTTTAGACGGACAAATATGACCGCTACAGAAGAGATGTATAGAAAGCCATGCGAAGTTAAAGCGGTTTAAACTTTTAGAAAACACGTCGCGGATTTGTAGAGGTTTATTCCTTTTCACTGCGTCTCATATGTTTTTAAATGCAGTTTGTGTGAATGGCGCTTCGGCTCTTTGGATTAAGCAATGCATAAATACATGATGCTGTTTTGTTCATAATTGTTTATGCAATTTACGAAATTATAT